CAGAAGTCCCGAGCTTTTGCCGCTGCCCAGCAGGAAGAGCCCTTGTTATTTTGGTTTAGGGTTTAAGGTTTTAGGTTTCAGGGTTTAGGGTTTAGGGTTTCAGGGTTTAGGGTTTAGGGTTCAGATTCAGGGTTCAGGGTTTAGGGTTTAGGTTTCAGGGTTCAGGGTTTAGGGTTTAGGGTTTAGGGGACTCCGTAAGTCGGGTTATAAGTAGGGTTACAGTTCGGGTAACTCCATTCAGGGTACTTATAGCTGTACTCATGACTCTACTTACTAGGTCCCGTGACCCTCCAAGTACTGGGTTTGGCATTTAAATGCCAAAGGTTCAGCAGTTTAAGGTGGGGGATTTAATTTAGGATTGAGGATGTTAAGATGGAGGCCCTTTGGAGTTTGCCGTGGGGGACGGAGCATAGTCGTGAAAGTTATAGGTCCCGAAACCCTAAATCCCGAAACCTTAAACCCTAATTCCTGAACCGGAAGGTTACTGCCCCAACTCTAAGCCGGGTCCAGGTCGTTAGGCTTGAGAGAAGGTTTGGGGGCGTACAGGGCCTGCAAGTCAAACAGGGCCTGATGGTGTTCAGGACTGTAAGGTTTTAGTGAACTCGGTTCAAGACTTCATGCCATAAATCTCTAAGCCCTAAATCCTAAACCCTATATTCCCCCTGTTAATTAAACCTTGACAAAACCCTTGCAGAACCCAGGAGCCCTGCAACGTTTGGGTCTTGAGACTTCGAACGCCAACCTCCCCTTCTCACTCATATACAGTATGTGTATACATAAAACTATATATTTCTTTTTTATATATCTAGATACAGATGTGTATATATCTATATATGTTTAAACGCACACACACACACACCCTATAACTCTGTGAGAGTCCAAGTAGTCCTCATTTTTGGCTCGGGACACACAACCGAACGCAAAGTCCTCTAATAAGGAGTACTTAAACCCTTACAGTAAAGTAACTATATCAAGACCCCATGTCAATCATTCCGGCCGTTGAATCCACTGACCCCTGCTGATGTCGAAGCCTGTATACCCATAACCTCCAACACCCCTTAGTCAAGCGATATCCTTTATGATTTGTAATTGCTCCGAGGCCCTACTAACCCTAAATCCTAAACCCTAAGCCCTAATGTAATCAAGGCCCCTTTACTATTTAGGCTCTGATATGCATCCCTATGACAAGAGGCCTTTGTGAAGGAGCTGCGTGAGCCCGCCTCGCAGTGAAGGCCCCGCCTCTAAACCTGGATGTAGCTTGGGGTTTCGGGTAATATAGGGGCCTCACGACTTGCCTATATTATTTTAGGGTTCCTTACTACAATTACACTACAAAGGACCCCCAAACCCTATTCTAATTATTAAGGCCCCTACATTATAGGGCTTTGGGTTCGTTTCGTGCTACAAGGGTCACAAAAAGTGGTTACGGGGGAGGAGTTCTAGTGTCTTCGGATCTACTGCCGAACCTTAAAGCCTGAATCCCATGAGCAGTTGGGGCTTAGGGCTGAGGTTCAGGGTTTAAGGTTTAGGTTTTAGGGGTCTGGTGTCTTCAGTAGAGGCTAAATCCCATGAGCTGTTCGGTTGAGGTTTAGGGTTTGGGGTTTAGGTTTTAGGTTTCTGCCGATGGCAGCACTTCGCAGCACGGCCGGACTCCAGGGAGCTTACGGGTGATCCCAGCTGGACGGTTCAGTCCTTCGTGGGTGAGAGTGGAGATTCCTCGGAGAAAGCAGACATGCCTCGATCAATGCAAGAGATTTAGACTGTTGCTCCTTTCCTCGGATTTATCTAGGTTTCTACGAACCCTAAACCCTAAACCCTAAACCCGAAACCTTGGCTCTGCATTGCGATTAGAGGGCGCCAGGACTCGAGGCATGTCAGCATCCGGATGAGCACAGAGAGGTGCATCTGCCAGATGCAGCGATGTGGGTGGTGAAGTGGTGGAGCGAAGACTTCTAGGAAGACAGACGCATGTCAAGGTTCCGCTGTGGGTTGTGATGGATATAACACTCCAGGAACAAACACCCCTCATCAACCCTGGATCCCCAAGCCACGTGGATTTAGGAAGTTTTGTCGCGCTTCGACTTCGAAGAAGTCCTGGTCGTAGATCACCGGCGCCATCAGGGTGCAGTGATCTCAGATTTTCGGGCTTGCACCGAGGCTTCCTGATCGACTGATCTTTAATGCGGTTTAGGTTGTGGGTCAAGCTCACATGAAAAGCTACGAAACCTACAACTTCTACGACATCCATAATGTGTTAAGAGCCCTAAACTGTGTAGGTCCTAACTAAGGTTCAGGTCAGAGGGTTCACGGGCTTGCAGTTTACCTATAGTCTGTGTTGTCGTTCCTTTTTAAGGGTTATCTTATAGCACCCTAAATCTAAAACTGGTTAAGCCCAAAAAGGAACTTACAATGGATATATAGTTTGGGTCTGGTTCGTTTGAGGGTTGATTAGTCTCGAGTCTAAGGTTACTGCACAACTTCGAGCAACCCCAATATAGAAGCTTAAGGAATTGCATTTCATCCCTCAGGATTGCCCTAGACCCTAGACCCCAAACCCGAAACCCTAAACTCCAAACCCGAAAGCCTAAACCCCAAGCCTAAACTCCAGGCCCTGAACCTTTGTAAAACCCCGAGCCTATCGACCGCAGTGGCTCTTACAGGAGCTTTTTTATCTTCCGGCCAAACACTAAACCCAGGTAATTACCTAAAACTAAGTTCTTTGGCCCTATGAAATGACAGGTCAATTAGATGACCCCTTCAACAGAGGGTAAAACTCTAGGACAGCACAATGCTTCGGCATTTCGGGAAACCCCGGCGTGGGAGCCAGCTGGCCTCCGTGCCCATTTTCATCCGGGCGCGTGCGCGCAGCACAGGCGCCGGCGCGCCAAAGCCACGGCTCTGCTTGGGTTTAGGGTTTACGGTGCGGTTTGGGGGATTTTGGATTGGCATTGATGTTTCCGGTGTTCTGCTTGGATCAATTCTAAAGCACGGGTGGTTGGGTTAACGGCTCAGAACTCAGCATTCGCATCGGGTTTACCTTGCTCGCGGCATGTGTCAACCCAGATCAACGAGGAATGGAATTGCTCATGACGGCTACACCGATGATGTTTGTGATGATGAAGATGATGAAGAAGATGATTATGGGGATGATGGTGCTGCATCTACGATAGTGTTTTGACCATGACCACCATCACCAACATCGACAACATCTTCATTGCCGACCATGCCCATCGTGACCAACATACATCGGTTCGAGACTGTTGCGAGTATGACTGTTGCTCTGATCTCTGGTGGTTTTCGGTGGCTTTGATAGTCTTCAGGGCGCAGGGACAGAGCCTAAGGTCACTTTTCTCTTTCACAGTGTGAGGAGTTGTGCAGGGTTTCGGGGCCAGGGTTGTATTTGCATTCCAACCTTGTAACCGAATTCTTGAACACTGAACTCGAAACCCTGAAACTTACATCCTGAAAACCGCACTCCAAACTTAAACCTAAGACCATATAGACCGTAAGCCCTGAACCCTCCAACCGTCAACCAGAAACACCACCCTAAACCGCTATAGTACCCCTTTAGACCTCTTGTAGGTCTCTTATACGATATAGTGACCTCATCGAAGCCCTTAAAGGAACCCTACGACTTCAACCAACTAATGGAGGTCGGATTAATCAGAAACAGTATCCCCGTATAGTCCTGTTACAAAGTTAGGGGTTTGAGTTTACGGCTTAGGGTTCAGAGTTTAGGGCTAAGGGGTTGGAGTTTACTGTTTTGAGTTTGCGGTTTGCGGCTTTCTTCTCGGGTGCGACACAACCCAAATTTCAAAGCCCCAGTTGTTCTAATTCTTCTGATCCTTGCTCTACATAATTGTTAATCAAAGCGAACCCAAAGCCCTGTTCCTAGGGGTTCTGATCCTCGCACTACCCATAGGCCCCATAGTGGTTCCTTTTTGGGATTACTTTATAGGATTCTATATAGGAACCCCCAAAAGGAACTACGTTTGGGCCTATGGGTAGAGAGATCGAGGCTCCGGGACCAGCCGTCGAGCCCCAAAGCTTTGTACCTGGCACCACTGAAGGCATCAACTTTCTGCCGTCGTTGTTTAGGTTTTAGGTTGGTTGGTTGGGTTTAGGGTTTAGGGTTTTAGGGTTTAGGGTTTGGATATTTACGAGAATTCATAGGAATTCAAGCAGGTTGTTGTCGGGTCCCGGGTTTAGGTCTAATTTGGGGTGTAGGGTTTCGGGTTTAGAGTTTCAGGGTGGATGCTGATGATGCAGCTGGAACGCATTTTTAACCGAATCCACGACAGCACCATAGCTCTCAGCCTTACTGTCCTTACCCTCATCTTCGCCAGCAGCAGCAATATGACTAACCTGACAGCTGCAGCTATGCTCCGGGCCATGACAAAAATCATAAATATCATCACAGAGTTGGGATTCTGGGCAAGCCCTAGATCCCCGAACAAAAGCCTAAAGCGCAAATCCCTGTCCCTAAGGGTCCTGTCCCTAAGGGTCCAAAGCAGCCAAGAACGAGATACTTCAGCCACGGATAGTAGATTATCAGGCACTTGGACCCTTAGGGTGTCTGTTCCGCGTCTCCTTGCTTGTGACAGGCGCTGTGCCAAGAGAAGGCACGTGAATGGAGCGAGCAATTCGGTCAAATCGGAATTGCCGCGGCCTTGAATTTAGGAACTTGCTGTTTCCGCATGGGTACCGTAGGTTGATGTCAGACTTCGTTGCGCCATTCCCCTCTTCAGAAACTGCCGCGTAAACCCTCAATCCTGAACATCACTTCTGAAGCTGCTGTTGCCAATTCTGGGACCGCCGGCACTCAGAAATCGTGAGCAAAATCCAACAGTGGTGGTACTGTCGGTCATTTTTCAATCCGCAGGCATGAGTCATCAGCTGTACCCTGTAGATTGTAGAACCCACTCTAACCCTTTGCAACCGCAGCCCTGTACGGCGCCGCAAAGCCCCTAAGCCTCATGAAACAACCCTGTTAGCCCTCTACACCCCATAAAGCCTATACCTTGCAATAGTCCTAGACACCGGCTTGATCCCGAGCCCAACGGTATCTCAAGTCTTGGGGCTTGTTTGTTTTGATTTTCGGGCCCGGGCGAGAGGATTTACGCGGTCGGGAAGTTAAGAGGTGAACCAATACCTATAAACCCTAAACCCTAAACCCTCCCTTGGTTTGCCCAGGTTGTGGTAGAGTTGACCGGCGATCAAGGGGCAAGTGTTGGTCGCGAGCTCAGCAGTGCAAGTAGCCACGCTGCTTGAAGCCCTAGACCATGAATTGCAGTACCATTCTTCTGCTTAATGTATTTCATGTCGAAGACGGATCAGGAAAAGCAACTATGTCTAAGGATCTAGGAGAACTTGGATCCCATCAGCCCTATGATCCTTACAAAGGGCCTAAACTCCAAACCCTGAACAGGAAATCCTCAGCGCGCACCCCCGTTCCCCCCCCTCCCTCCCCTGAGAATATGTTATTCTCATGAACCCTTGAACTACATCCGCGCAATCCCGAAAGAGGCCATGCTCTAGACATTCCTACGCCCAAAACTCTGAAATGTAAACATCAGAACCCTGAAACAAGCCGTACACTTGACACCCTACACCACTAAGCATGAACCCGAAGCAACTCCATACATCCAAGTCATCCAAGCTTTTCCTTGTCGATGACAGGCTTCGGTCTCACATGGGTAGTTCTCAAAATTCGGGTCCTTTTTTAGGTCCCTATTATAGTACGGCACCCTTATAGTAAGGAATAGTAAGGAACCTAAAAGGGACCCTAATTTAGACAACTACCCACATGTTGAAGGGACTCCGGCCTTCAGAGAACGACAACCCCACGGCTAGACCCAAGCTCTGTGCCACAGTAGCCGTAAAACCTAAACCCTAAGCCCTAAACCCTAAACCCTAAACCCTAAACCGTTAAGCTTATCGGGTTTAGGGTTCAGAGTTTACAACCCCCGCTTTGAACTCCAACAGACATAGCCAATACTAGCTCAAGTCTGGTTCGAACCACCGAAGACAAGACCACCGCATAAGAACCCCAAGCCTCACACCAAAAGCGTAATTAAGCCCCAAAGTCTAACCAGAGTCTAAAACCCTAAACCCCTAAACCCTAAACCCAAACTCCCTGAACCCGCACCATTTGTTGAGGACGCCGCAGCTCACGGCTTGCAAAAGCAAGCATCATCGTCTCCACTCCGGATATGCCATGGGCTCGGCTTCAGTTGGAAATCTATTACATACTAGAATAAAGAAGTACCCCCCTACATATGCATGTATATATAAACAAATAAATCACTAGATAGGCAAATAAACAAATAAATGAATATATATATATATGTATGTATGTATGTATGTATGTATGTATGTATGTATGTATGTGCCAGGCCCTTGCATGTGAAAATAACACGTCCCTACTTTCCCCCAGAGTGAGTGACTGCCACTTTGGTGGCTCAAGACTACTT